CCCCAAAACCCCAAAACCCCAAAACCCCATGAATCTATGATTGTAAAAATCTATGGTAACAACAAGGTTTGAATTAAGAATAAAATAAATATATCGTTGTAAATTAAAAATGATTTCAAGTCCTAAGTTAATGACATCACTTAAGAGTTCTAATAATAGTATGATCAATTCGTTATTTAAACTTTTAGCTCAGAGTCAAATGACTACGATTAAAAAGAAATTAAAAAAGAGTAATTTCACTGAAGCTAAAGAACTAGTGGTATCTATTACTAAGTTATAGCAATATTGTCATTTAGGCTATTGTAAAGGAAAAGGGGATGATGAAGTTTAAGAAAAATGCTGAGATGAGCAAATGATTCAATTTTCTTTGCAATAAATAGTAATATTCTCATTGTCTATACTTATGATTACTCATAATTAACATAATTTAGCGTGAAATCTATTGAGCTAAGAACATCGATAGATCAACTCACTAATCCTTTGGATCCATAATTGTTTGGATACTTACTCAAAGAATGTCTATTTCTTTCAGATCTCCAATTATGGCCAGATTCTTGCTAACCTAATGGTAAAAACATACATAATTTTAGTATACTTCAATTAGATGTAATAAAATAATGCAAAAGTGATCCTGAATATAAAAGTCCAAAAATATCAGCAGCGATGGAGGAAGCAATGTAATGGCAAGAAGAAGTCATTAAGTTATCGGAGACTCCTCAATAAAATTAAAATATATTTGAGTAATTTCATTGCGATGTTTCATAATATGACAGCATATTTTAGTGGACTTGGAAGGAATCTAAAGTATTCATCAAGATTAAATACGCTTCATCTAGTTAAAATAAAAATAACAGAAGAAGCTTGGACTACAATAGCAGAGGGTCTTAGTAAATCGAAATCTTTAAGAGTGTTGTAACTTAATCTTATGCCAATATCTTTGAAATCTCTTGATTAATTAGCAGATGCTGTGAGGTCTAGCCAGTCTATTGAGAGAATAGATCTATCTATGAATGACTTTAGTGATGAATATGGATGTATAATCACTAAATTTGTATAATCATAGCAAGATATGAAGGATTTGCTTAAATGGGAAGGATCTCTAAGAGGGAGACCACTTGACTAATCAATTAATGAAAATGGGTTGAAAGAACTAATACTTCATCATAACATTTTAGGATAGAAATTTTTACGATCTTTTGGCTAAAGACTAAAGAACGACTAATATCTGCGATTTGTTGATTTAAAGTTTAATTAGTTTGAGAAGGAAGATATTGAAGAACTTCTTGAATGCATTAAGCCTAATAAAAGCATTTTTGCTATAGATCTTAGAAACAACAATGGATACAATTCTGGAGTTTAAAAGTGATCTGCCTTATTCATGCTAAAGAACATAGAATAAGCATACAAATAGAAAAGGCTTGTGAAGAAGCACTGGATAATCAAATAATTAATCTTTATTGAACTACCTGAAAAGAGAGCATAATCAGGAAAATCATAAACAACCATTGAGTCAGGAATGCAAGATATGAGCACTTTATAATCACATAGGTTACTTAATAAAACAAGAGATACTCATATTGAGTCATCACCATTCTTAAGTCCTCCATCAGAATTAAGAATAGAAAAAAGCCAGCATAACACAGGCAAAAACTCTAATAAATCACTGTAATATTCCTCTGATAAGCTTAAGTACTAATCAATGAAAAATATTAGAGGAAGCAACTATGTAATTTAGCAAGAAAGTTATTCAATAAACTAGAGTATCCCAGTTAGCAATAAGAAGAAAAAGAATGGGAAAGGATCTCCTTCATTTTAATCAGAGATGAATAATCATGGTGAAAAATAATAGCAAAACTATTAGATGTAGCCATAATAATGCAATTTTTGCTGTGAAAACCAATAAACGATTTATATGCTTGAAAGGCTATGTTTCTAGCAATAGTCATAAATTTCAGATCTTCTTAGGAATATTTAAAATGGCAATATAAATCTGGCGATAACTCCCAAATTTGATAAACAAGACAATGAGAGCTAAATATGGAATCAGATATATTATAAAGTTAGCGAAATCTCCTCATTGATGGAGTTATTGAATAAAAATAAAGATCTAAGCACCAATTAAATTCAGCAAAACCCAAATAACTTTTAGAATTTATTGGACGAAAATATAATTAATATAAATAATGAGAATAATATTATAAGCTACATATCAGATGGCTCAAGAGAAGGTTATAGTCCTGAGAAAAAATAAGATGATAATGTTTCTGAAAAGGTTAAAAAATCTAAGCAAACTAAGAAAAGAATTTTAAGTTAAGATTCAAACATTTCAAATAAAATTTAGACTATAGAAAATAGCTCATAATCTCAATAGTAACATTAAAAACGTCCAAAGTCCAAAGTTAAAGGGAAGACAGTTAAACGAAGATCCTCAAAACAAGCCCCTTCCAAGTAAATAATAATAAGTGATGCTGAAAAAGAAGCTGAGCTAGAACGCTAGGCTTTAGAATACTTGCGGAAAAAGAGCACTACTGAACAGGATGAACTAGCGAATACAGAGAAAAAGAAAAGATAAAAAATCAAGACAGATGGCTAGAATAGGAGATAGGAACTTCAAAGTTTGAGAAATAAGTAAATTTTTGACATATGAGACTCATAATAAATTGAAATATTAGGAAGTATATAAATGCATCAACTAATTAAGATAAATATATTTAAGATAGCTGGCTAATTTCTCTCATAAATTTGATGCTCTTTTAATCTATAATATCTTTAGACATCATCATTCATTCTTCTGTCTACTTTATCTTCTTATTCTTTCCTATTTTTTCTGCTCAACTTTGGCGTGATACCATCCTGTGACTAAAATCAAGAACACAGAGAGTCCACCTTAAACAAGAGTCATTCTCTTCCTATAATATTCATTCATTACTATTATAATCATACATTTGTTCATCTTCGACAGATAAATATACGAACACCATCAATAATGCTAGGATTCCAGCTGACCCATAAATGACTCTAAAGTAATCCATTCCAAAAAAAGTTGGGTTTTAGAAGAAGGTTTCGACCTTAGATTCCTTGTCTAGAGGATCTTGTTTCTTAGAGCTACCTCTGGTTGTTGAGGTATTGTTGTTCTACTCTGAGAGAGCGTTGTTTTTCTTCGAACTCATCTTTTATTAATTATCAATTATTTACTATCTATCCAAGACATTACCAAATTGTAGACCATGGGGTTTTGGGGTTTTGGGGTTTTGGGG